CTTAAAAATCAGATCCGGAAATATAATTGCTTGTGCATCGTACAGATTAAACTCAAACTTTTTGAGTTGCGCCTCTTCTGAATTCGGTGTGCGATATATACATTTTCCACACAATATATAGACTTCTAATTTCCTATGGAGAGCAATGGGGTATAGTCATTGCGCTGGGTATGCAGTTACAGTTGCATGGCTATACTCAATCCCGACTCTTGCGTCCTCGTTCGCGCACTCTGGGCAACGTGAGCAACCCATGTGCGAGATGCGGTAACCAATCCGAGTGGAGCCTTGGGTCACGGAAGAAAGAGAGGGAGCTTCGGTGGGGCCACTCTGACTTATTCGGTTTAAGGGCTCACTGAAGTCTGCAGCGTCTGTTCACCAGTAGGTGCGGCTGCAAGCGGGTGTCTGCTTGGAGCAAGCGGCTCGCTATATAAACGTGTATTTGGTTGCGAAACCACCCCCGTCCCAGCAATGGGTTGTGCGCTGGGCTTGGGACCCGCCACGTAAAAACCACTTCCAGTGAAGAAGCAAGGCAAAGCCTCGGATGAGACCCCCCTTATGATGACGACCACGGCAAATGTTTAAAGGACTACGATTTGAGGGCATGCACCTGGAATGTCCGGACCCTTAATGGGGAAGGTGCCTCTGCCCGGCTGGTTGATGTCCTCGTAAGGACAAAAGCTGACATCACCGCCATCCAAGAAATGCGTTGGACGGGGCAAGGCAAAGAATGTCTGGGGCCTTGCGACGTCTACTACAGCTGCCATGTAAAGGAGCGCAAATTCGGAGTTGGATTTGTGGTGGGAGAGAGACTCCGTCGCCGAGTACTGGCGTTCAACCCGGTGGACGAACGTCTAGCCACAATCCGCATCAAAGCTAGATTTTTCAACATCTCGCTCATCTGCGCCCATGCCCCGACGGAAGAGAAGGATGAGGCATCCAAGGATCTCTTCTATGAGCGCTTGGAGCGCACGTACGAGCGCTGCCCCCGTCATGATATCAAAATCGTGCTTGGCGACTTCAATGCCAGGGTGGGCAAAGAAGGGATCTTTGGAACCACCGTCGGAAAATTCAGCCTCCACGACGAAACGTCCGACAACGGATTGAGGCTGATCGACTTCGCCGGGGCCCGAAACATGGTAGTATGCAGTACTAGGTTCAAGCATAAAAAGATCCATCAAGCTACCTGGCTGTCTCCGGATCGAAAAACGAGAAACCAAATCGATCATGTTGTGATAGACGGAAGGCACGCTTCCAGTGTTTTAGACGTACGCACACTCCGAGGCCCAAACATCGACTCGGACCACTATCTTGTTGCAGCCAAGATACGCACCCGCCTCTGTGCAGCAAAAAATGTGCGCCCAAATATGCAAGGAAAGCTTAACGTCGAAAAGTTGCAATCACAACAGACAGCCAGCGCTTTCGCTACTCGACTCTCACACCTGCTCTCAGAGAGCACTCTTCAACAAACCGACATATGCGAGCAGTGGAACCACATTTCCCGCTCATTAAGTACCGCCGCCGAAGAAGTAGTCGGATTTCAGCGAGCCCGAAAGAACAACTGGTACGATGAGGAGTGCCAGGAAGCTGCAGAGAAAAAAGATGCCGCCTACAGGGCCACGCTGCGATCGGGCGCAACGCGCGCTATGTGGGACCGCTATAGGGATCTGAAGAGGGAAGCGAGACGTATTTGCCGCAACAAGAAGAGAGAGGCAGAAATACGTGAGTGCGAAGAGCTTGAAATGCTGGCCGACAGGAGGAATGCCCGAAAATTTTACCAGAGTTAGGCGACTTACGGAAGGTTTAAAGACCGGGGCGCACTCCTGTAAGAACAATAATGGCGACCTAGTAACTGATGTCCAGAGCGTACTTAAATTATGGAGGGAACACTTTTCCGCCCTACTAAATGGTAGCAGCACGGAAAGTTGTGGAGAAGAAGAACCCGAGCCCGCAGTCGATGATGACGGAGTCGACGTTCCACCGCCTGACTATGACGAGGTACGTATAGCAATAACGCGGCTGAAAAACAACAAAGCCGCTGGAGCTGACAGCCTGCCAGCTGAGCTATTCAAGTACGGCGGCGAGGAGTTGATAAGGTGCATGCATCAACTCTTGTGCAGAATATGGTCAGATGAACGCATGCCCGACGACTGGAATTTAAGTGTACTCTGCCCAATCCACAAGAAAGGTGACCCCGCCATTCGCGCCAACTACCGCGGGATCAGCCTTCTAAGCATAGGTTACAAGGTCTTATCAAGCGTATTGTGTGAAAGACTGAAGCCCACCGTCAATGAACTGATTGGGCCTTATCAGTGTGGCTTTAGACCTGGCAAATCCACCATAGACCAGGTATTCACAATACGCCAAATCTTGGAAAAGACCCGCGAGAAAAGGATCGACACTCACCACCTATTTGTCGACTTTAAAGCCGCTTTGGACAGCACTAAAAGGAGTTGCCTATACGCCGCTATGTCTGAATTTGGCATCCCCTCAAAACTCATACGGCTGTGTAAAATGACGTTGAGCAATACCACCAGCTCCGTCAGAATTGGAAAAGACCTCTCCGAGCCTTTCGCCACAAAACGGGGTTTCAGACAGGGCGACTCCCTTTCATGTGATTTCTTTAATCTGATGTTGGAGAAGATAATAAGAGCTGCAGAACTGAACCGCTCAGGAACAATTTACTACAAGAGCGTGCAATTGCTGGCTTATGCCGATGACATCGACATCATCGGTAACAAAAACCGCGAAGTCTGTTCTGCCTTTTCCAAGTTGGATAGGGAAGCAAAGCGCATGGGTCTGGTGGTAAACGAGGACAAGACGAAGTATCTCCTGTCATCAAACAAACAGTCAGCACATTCGCGCCTTGGCACCCACGTCACTGTTGACAGTTACAATTTCGAGAAAGTAGAGAATTTCGTTTACTAGGGAACCAGCATTAACACCGATAATAATGTCAGCATTGAAATCCAACGTAGAATCACTCTTGCCAACAAGTGCTACTTTGGACTGAGTAGGCAATTCAGGAGTAAAGTCCTCTCTCGACGTACGAAAACCACGCTCTATAAGTCACTCATCATGCCCGTGCTGGTATATGGCGCAGAAGCATGGACAATGACAACATCCGATGAGGCGGCTCTTGGGGTGTTTGAGAGAAAGATTTTGCGGAAGATTTACGGTCCTTTACGCGTTGGCGACGGCGAGTACCGCAGACGATGGAACGATGAGCTGTATGAGCTTTACAACGATATGGACATAGTGCAGCGAATTAAAATACAGCGGCTCCGCTGGCTTGGTCATGTCGTTCGAATGGACACCGACGCTCCAGCTCTGAAAGTATTCAACTCGGAACCCGCTGGTGGTAGCAGAGGAAGAGGGAGGCCCCCACTGCGATGGAAAGATCAGGTGGAGAAGGACTTGGCTTCACTTGGCGTTTCCAATTGGCGTCAGTTGGCACAGAGGAGAAACGACTGGCGTGCTTTGCTGAACTCGGCCAAAATCGCTTAGGCGGTTACAGCGCCAAAAAAGAAGAAGAAGAATTTCCTATATTTTTATTAGTTTAATAGCGCAGAAAGCTGCACCACCTTAAAGGTTTAAACCTTTTTTAGTACACTTAACCTCATAGAGATCTACATTATATTTCGTACATACATTTGTACATATGTACATACACTTATGGTCACCTGATTAAGTCAAGTTATAACATAAGACCTAGTATTGGCTATTTTTCTTTTGTTTATTTAATGTTTATATTTTTTTCTATAAAAGTCTGGCACTTTACCTAACCAGCGCCATATAAATCCATATTTCAAACTTCGTACAAAAATTATGAAAATTCAACAAACTTTAACAATTGCACCCAACAATTTTAAACTTTTTATTCAGAATTTTCAGAGCAGTTTTGTAGCTCATTAAATTTTAGTAGGTTAAAGTGCAAATTTCAAGACGCTAGAAAATCGCATTGATTTTTAATAATTTGTTTGGCCGACAGTGTTGTGCATTTTCTTCCATATAAAGTATGTTCGACAATTTCGATTGTATGGGAGAAAACACTTACAATTTTTCTCTAGTTCAAGTATATCAGTTTTGAAATTGTAATTATGTAAAAAATTTCTATAAAATCAGTTATTCCGTAGATGATAAAAAAATACCCCGGAATACCCTGATTTCATTTTTATTAAAATATTTTTTGAGTCTTTTAGAAAGCCCCACAAAAGTTTAGCTTTCCCTTTGCATCACTTTCGGAGTAATTGTATTTTGTTTACAACTATCAAATAATCTATTCGCGTCAGCTGATTGAAAAATAAAAAAATATTAAAATCCAAAAGCGAACCGATGAATCTCCAAATTTTTAATTTGCTACGAGACCCCCGTTTTGTCCGAGGTCTACCTGTACAATATTTTTATGTTACTATTATTTATTTCATGTAAATATGTAAATCTAAATATCATGTTTCATATCAAAATGGATAAAACCATTTTTCGCAGGGGTCGATAATGCTGTTATTTTTGTTTAAATAGTTTTAAGCCATCATATAAGATTAATTTCCCACACCACAAATCGATTTTATTGGTTAATTATTTTTGTCCAGCTAAAACGTCACCTTTGCCTTGTGTGCGCTTTATAAAAAAAATATAAACATTAAATAAACAAAAGAAAAATAGCCAAAACTAGTCAAAATGTCACTTGACTGAATCAGCTGTCCACAAGTGTATGTGTATATAGAAGAAAACTAAAAAACTTTATTTTTATGAATGTTTTCAAATTTCGTAGAAAACCCTCATTCCGACCACTTAAAGATCATTTTCGTTTTCAAAATAGATATTTTATTTAGACACATGCGAATTTTAATTGGTTTTACACCTTAAAATTTTATTTGTATTAATATGTATGTATATTAAAGTGTGACATCAAAAACTCCAAACTAAAAGTTCGATGCGTTATTTTCTTATGACGGCGGATTTAAATATAATTCAGTTAAAGCTGTGCGTATTTTTTACAGTTACTAGAATTTTTATAACTAAAACTCATGCGGCTCTCAACAGCTTGTGCACTTGACCGAGAAACTAAATTAGATATCTACGTGGTTTCGAATTCGATTTACGAGCGATTCTAAAACAGCGCATGCGTGAGAAATACAAAAGAGAAGAGTATAGTATTTTGACTGCAGATTTATACTACAATACATTGGAGGCGGAGTCAGTTGGAGTAAAGAAAGTGATCCAATAGCAAATTCAAAATGGAGATTTTACGAAAGAAAGAAGACCCCAACTTCTCTATGACCCACTAGGGAGTTTAACATTTAGAGCCCGCAGTACATTGCACGACTGACAGAGGAAATTGATTGGAGGAGAGCAATGAAGCGAGCATAACGTGGGATTGTATGTGAATATATATTTATATTGCATATTATATATGTATGTGTATTTCAGCAGAACATTTAGATAGATGGAGCCTTGGGGTTATGCGCTGTAAAGGAGGTCGAGGGCCACAGTTTCATACAACGGGAAAATGGTTTTTGCGCTGAGGAAAGGCAACCAGCTCTGCGAAATTTTGGTAGCTCGGACTACATAAATATTTCACAAACGTACCATGTATTGTAGGAGTCCCCCGCTTTGGAGCGTTTGGGCGCCATATGTACATATGTATGTCGTGTAAGTATGCGGACAGACGTGCTGCTGTTGCCTGGCTTCTGTTGCGATATGGATGGCGATATCGCTTGCAGGCAACATACGTGTGTATTCGCAACAACATGTGTGATGTGTGGCAATCCGTATGGACGATCTCTTGGCGTGCACATATGTAAACCACATACGATACGACGTAAGTAAACAGACTGAATTTGTATACTTGCCACATTTTTGTTATTCGTATGTAAGGATGTGTGTTGGTTGCTTGGTTGCCGGAGGAGCTGGCATTATCAATTTGTTTTATGTGCGCTTTTTTGGCGCTCTAACAACAATGGCTGCCATTTGACAAGTAAGCTTGGCACAGTGTTTTTGGGTAAGGATGGAAATTTGAAATATGGATTTTTGTGATTACTTTATGGCATCGAACCTGTGATCTACTAAATGGAAGCTCGCAGAACTGCTTTTGTTGTAACAAAACTTATCCCCCAAATTAACTAATAGTCATCTTCCATACCTGACTCTTCCAGCTGAAGTTCCAAAAGAAGCGATGTTGCGTAAGCCGTTTGCACTTGCTGGGCAGGTGTCAGCGATTTCTGAATCTATATTTGCGATCCCGTACGAGCCCGGACTAGTCAGAATCAGTCAGATTTTACTGGATCCCGTACTCGGTTTTCTGACTATTGAGAGGGCAAAAAAAGATAGTAAATAAGGTCCTCTCTCTGTCAGAAGCTACCAGTTTTAGTCCGAAGATTTTTTGCTGGTAAATTCTGGTAAATGTGTCAAACGATCAGCTGTAGTGTGTTTGGCAACCAAATTGTAAACAAAAGAAAATTGCACTCTGCTAATTCGTGTTGAAAAGTAGTTAATTACTTGTTTAAGTGGATTCTAATGAATTTGAAAGTATTCTTGGTTATTTACATGTGTGAGCTGAGTGTGTTTACATACAAAATAACCAAAAATTTGCAACCAAAATTTGGAATTGACAGAAGTTACCATTTTTTATTGGAAAGCGATCCCGTACTTTTCAATGTTACTCTTTCGCTCTGAGCGAATTTTTATTTTTTGACAGTTTTACTAGTTTTGTAAAATTTTAGCCTGCCGTGCCCGTCCAGTTAAAGTTGGAGTGGTTGGTTCGGCGTAGGGAGCTGTGGCGGTACGGACAGCTGCGTTTTGGCATCTCTGATGATTAGGGAAATGCGTATCGCTGCCCCTCACAGACCACACCAAGACAACATAGTTCTACAGACCAGGCAGAATTTTGTAAGTAGTAGGAAGGAAGGTCTTCTTGGCTTTCCCCTAGATGCTGCCGGCAAGTGGCATTCTTGCTCCGTCGACCTCTACGCTCAGTTCGAGCTTCAATTCCTTCATCCCGGTGGTGATTCAAGGCGGATTCATATAAGGTGATGTTGCTAGAACAGCTGATTTGATTCGCCTCGGTACACAGACGTAAAAATTTCTTATGAGTGAGTGAGAAAGTGCGAGTTTTGAAATTTTCTTTTCCCCTTCTTCCTTGAGCGAAGAGTAGCTGAAATTTAACATTTGTATACTAACACCACCACCTTATATGAATTCGAATTGTGGTTATCAAAGTGGCTGTTCACTTGGCGGTTGATATTTGTAAGTTTTCTGGCATGAAGTAGCGCTCAAGGTCGCTGTTTATCACTGTGCAGAGCTTATCAATGCCAACTTCGGTGGCGAGAATAGAATAGTCACCGGCGTATGAGACAATCGAAACTCCCAAACAGTGGCTAAACTTTGAAAAGGAAGCGAGATAGATTTTATTCTACTAGGTTTTATGGTCTTCTCTTTGAATATCTACGGCCGATGGCTGCCTACGGCATAGATAGGTGACGAGACATCGTTTTGTATGAGTGGATAGTAATGTAACTTCACAGCTACAGCTGTTGTCATACCGGCAACTATCCTGAAAAATAGTACCTTTGCATTAAGAAGAAATACTATTTCATAAATTTTTTATTCTCTTCTTATTTCTGTTTCTCGTTTTATTTATTTTTCTTACCATTTGTGTGAGTTAGTTTTCGTTGAGACTTTTTATACATGAATGAGTAAATTCAGGAAGACCTGGAAAAGCAAGGATTTTTGGTTGTCCATTCACCATGAAGTAAACGATGTAGAGAACAAAGGTGGCGCCCATCTCGGTACCGCTATTCCGTTCGCAGTGATTGCAAAATTTCTTGTTCTTCCATTCTTGCTCGCGTTTTGGCATTTCTCTCGCAACTGCACCAATGCGACATCACATAAACATTATTCTCAAAAATCCTCTCTGATGCACCAGTTGCAATGGCCGATTGGGCAAAGCACTGACATGCCATTAAATTTTTATTTAATTTACTTTAAATTTTTGAATTTGCTGAAAAGCAAAATACATATACATGCATAAATATATGTACTTTTTAAATTTCATAAAATTTTTAGAAACTTGTTTAATTTTTTCTTATTTTAATTTTTTTCTTTTTAATGTAATTTTTACATTTTATTATTAAAAAAAAATATATATATTAAAGTTTTAGGAAAAAATTATTTTAACTTTTAGATTCTATTGCTTTAAAAAGAAACAAATTTTTTTCAATTCAATTCTTAGGAAGTGATTTTATTTTTTTTCTTCTTTGTTGATTAATTAACTTTAATTAAAATTTAAAAAGAAAACTATTTTTTTTCAATTTCAATTAATTTCAATTAAATTTTTCTTTTATTTTTTAATTTTTATTGATTTTAAAGAAAAATATATGTGGAAGTCTTTTTCAAGATGGCGGACAGATTTTTTGTAAGTTTTCAGCGATTTATACAAAATTATCTGTAGGGGTGAGGAGAGCGTTCCCAAGAACTCCCGAAATAGTGTTTTAGTCGAATTTATTTCATTATTTGAAATTTGTTTTTTGCATTTTTCCCTCGTATATTTTTTAATTTCATTAAATTTTTAGAAAACTTCTTGCTAAAAGACAAACAAAAAACGCTCAGACTTCCTCGTTGGCAGATCTTCGAAAATATTCGAAGATCTTCGAAATACTTAAAAGAGCTTTCAAGATAGTTGCCAGAATTGACAATTATCTTACGAAAGACTTTTGTGGGCGTGGCCTCATTTATATTACTCATTCTACGGCGATGCTCTTACTCATTGCTAAATCTTTTCTTTTTAACCGACTTCCAAAAAAAGGAGGAGGTTATCAGTTCGTCGGAATATTTTTTATTTTTTTTTTTTTATGTATGTTACCGCATAACTTTGGACCACGTCAACCGATTTCGATAATTCTTTTTGCATCGGAAAGGTAGTATCTCAGAGGTGGTCCCATACTAATCTGGTTAAGATCCGATCAGTGGATCATGAGATATATATATATATATTTTTTTTTTGATGAGAGTTGAAGTCGGTTTTTTTTGCTAAAAATTACTTGTATTTAATATCCTTCTATTTTTTTTGTTACTACTAACTAGTCAATATTTATTCTGCAACTTATTTTATTTTCATTTATTATTAAATTTTCCTTTAGTTCTACTTCCGGTTTTTTTAAATTTTTCCTCTTTCATTTTTAAACCCCACTTATCGTAAAATAAAACACTGTTTGCACCGAAGATGAAACTTCTCTCTCCTCTTGAAAGTAGTTTGAATGAACACACGCCAGTCCTTGTAAGGCAAAGTTTTTCACTTTGCAAAATCGAGACTGTAACAATTTCGTGGGGATATTAAAGGGTTTTAGTTTATTTGCATGAGTGGAACATGTTGCTTTTAGGCGAGCAATGTGTTTCCACAAATGTTAGGGACACACACATACATGGTATGCAATACAGAGCACGCAAAACCTTTTACGAGTATTTGGTTAAGTATCCTTGCCATACTCATATGTGCATATGTATGTACATATGTATGAGTTTACAAAAGTCTTTAGTCGTGTCCATTGACAGCCCTTGATTGTTTCTTACGTTTTTGCTTCCGTTTCGAAACACTTCTCTTACCACGAGAACGTTCAACAAACTTACATTTGTATGTATGTAAATAAGCTCTTCATTTACGCCCCCTTCCCTGCTGCTTGTTTGCTTATCTATGATTTATGTCATGTTTCTTTTGATTGATGTCCTGTTTGGTCCTGCCGGTCCACTGCGCTCTGGCATCAAGTTGACAGTTATGTACTGGTTTTGGTTGAGCTAAAAATGTATGTTTGCCTCGAGCATTATTGCTTAGCAGATTTGTTTTGCGTTCGTTTTCTCTTTCTTTAGTAGAATTATTTTCGAGAAAATTTATGCAGAATTACTTAATACATAGTGTGTACTTCATGCACATAAAGTGTATTGTAGGAGGTTGAATACTTCAATTTCATATCACTTTATGTACTTTTGTACTTTAAGTCACGCTTACTGATTTTTATTTGATGAATGACGCGATTTGTTTGGATATAATTTATGAAAAAGGCAAGTCTTGCGAATTCATATTTATCGGGAATTTGATTTTTACTAATAATTCTCCTTTGTTCATTGACTTAGTTGACGGTAACGATTATGTTGTATCGATGGTTGGGGATATTTAATAAACATGTGTTGCGTTGAAACATTAAAATTAATGACAAGGGACTGTAGAACCTGTAGGTCGTTTCTGTAACAATTCTCTACCAAGGCAAATTCATATATGAATTCGACGCTTTGTTTTCTACTGCTAATGAGTAGTGGAGAATAACGTATATTCTCTACCAGTAGAGAAATAAGCGGTAGAGAAGAGTTACAGAAACGACCTACTGATAACCCACCTTTGGACTTGACATAACTAAAGCTACATTCGCTGCGCTATGTCCATGTCGTTGTAAAGCTCATATAGGTCATCGTGCCAAAAATCAACGCGATTTTCTCTAGCAACTTCAAACTTTCACTTTGTTACACTAAAATTGAATGGGCTATATAAGTGCATACGTGGAATTTTACTTAAAAGTCTGATTAGAAGTATATGAGCGTACCAATTTATCCTTTATTAAAGGGACAAATGATATATGGACAAGCTCCATTGATGAAACCGTAGAAATGCTAGTTCAATCCCACCTCCCAGGCTGTAAACAGCATGCAGCGACACTAGGAGGAACAGAAATTCCAAGCACACCTAGCAGGGACCTGAAAGCAACAATAACACTAGAGAGGCTGATGGACATATACATAAGATCGCTATTGGGAAAAGAATTCCTATCAACAGCG